AGCTACAAGAAATCTAATGAGACCCTCGATGCTGTGATAAAGAACCAACTAGAAATTAAGCATACACTGACTCAAATAAAGAATATTATACAGACTTTCAACAGCAGACCAGAGGAGCGCAAGAATCAAGTCAAAGATTTGAAAGACGAAGAAGCAAAAAACACCTAACCGGAAAAACAAAATGAAAAGAGAAACCAAAAATACGAAGGTAGTGTAAGGAGCCTCTGGGACAGCTTCAAGCGTACCAACATCCGAATTATAGGGGGGCCAGAAGAAGAGAGAGAGAGCAAGATATTGAAAACCTATTTGAAAAAATGACAGAAAACTTCCCTTTACTGGGTGAAAGAAATAGATGTACAACTCCAGGAAGCACAAGAGTCCCAAACAAGATGAACCCAAAGAGGCCCACACCAAGATACATCATAATTAAAATGCCAAAGGTTAAAGGCAAAGAGAGGATCTTAAAAGCAGCAAGAGAAGAGCAGTTAGTTACCCTAAGGGAGCGCCCATATGACTGTCAGCTGATTTCTCAAAAGAAACTTTGCAGGCCAGAAGGGAGTGAGAAGAAATACTTAAAGTGATGAAAGCAAGGACCTATAACCAAGATTATGCTACCCAGCTAAACTGTCATTTAGAATTGAAGGTGAGATAAAGAGCTTCACAGACAAGAAGAAGATAAAGGTGTTCATCACTACCAAACTGATATTACATAGAATGTTAAAGGGTCTTCTTTGGTAAGAAGAAGGGGCGAGATAAAAAATAGGAACAGTAAAATGGCAATAAATACATATCTGTCAGCAATTGAATCTAAAGATCAAGATGAACAAATAGGCAGAATTAGAGGCAAACTCAGGTACAGAAAACATTTTGACGGTTGCAGGATTAGAGGGGGGTAGATGGTATGGGTGAAAAAGGTGAAGGGATTTAGAAGTACAAATTAGTCAAAGCCCATGGATACAGACAATAGACAGGTGAAGGCCTGGGACAGGGTGGGCGATGGGTGGAGGGAGGCAAAAGGGAAAACAGGGACATCTGTAATACTCAACAATAAAATTAACTTTGGGGGGGGGAGACATTTGGCAGCAGACCCTGGGATAACGGGCCACTGTACTCACCAGCTGGCCTCTGTCCTTACTTGAATGATAGAGACAGACTTGACCTCATTTCTAGCTTGACATGAAAGGGCACCATACCATGTACACTGGCATGTCGGCATTGGGCTATTGTCATGCAGAAATTCCGGTTTCCTCCCACTGATCTGCTGGATAGATGTGCTCCTCTGACAGGAGAGGTTGCTCAACAGTGGCATCCTTGTAGAGGCTTTCGAGTCCTGTGAGGGCAGGAGTAAAGCTCTAGACCAGGGGTGGGCAAACTTTTTGACTCGAGGGCCACAATGGCTTAAACTGGACCGGAGGGCCGGAACAAAAGCATGGATGGAGTGTTTGTGTGAACTAATATAAATTCAAAGTAAACATCATTACATAAAAGGGTATGGTCTTTTTTTTTCTTTTTTTTTTAGTTCATTTCAAACGGGCTGGATCCGGCCCGTGGGCCGTAGTTTGCCCACGGCTGCTCTAGAAGGAAATAGGAGAACATCTTCATGGGCATGAGCATAGGTTTCGTAAAGTGGCTGTAGAAAGCACCAAACAGTAAGACCTGTTCAGGGAATGAGCAGCTCTTTGTTGAGTGTCATGTGCACGGCTTTGCTCAGTCCTCGCCTCTTGGGCAGGGGATCCTTTTGGATGGCTTCTGGCTGTATTTTTCTTCTCTGACGGGAAGTGTTGCCTCTTTTCCCTCCCCAATGACAGCGGATCGAGTGAAGAAGGGGTTTGACTTCCAGTGGCCCCAACCTGATAAGCCGATGTTCTTCTATGTGACGCAGGGCCAGGAGGAGATCGCCAGCTCGGGTACCTCCTACCTGAACAGGTATGCAGAGGTTTGCCTGCCACAACAGCTGGCTCAGTGGCAGCTTGGCCAACTCTTAATTAATGTATGTGATGCTGGTCTGAAACTGCCCTCCTCACTCTGTTTAGGTTTCTCAGGCCACAGCATATTCTCATTTCGCTTTTTCAGTGTTGTTTTTATGTTGAGCAGATTTTGTGTGTGTGTGTGTGTGTGTGTGTCTGTGTGTGGTGAGCTTTTTCTGTCCTCTGTGACTCCCTTGGTCCAGGACAGGATGGCCCCAATGTGGGCATAGCTGCCCTGGCACCTCCCATAGCCTCTGGTCTCAGGAGCCCACAGGTGCAGCCCAGGGAACTGAATGTCTGGTTTCCTTAGGACGGAGGCTGCAAATGTTGAGAAGATCACCACGAAGCTGCTGAAGGCAGGTGCCAAGCCGGACCAGATTGGCATCATCACACCCTATGAGGGCCAGCGCTCCTACCTGGTGCAGTACATGCAGTTCAGCGGCTCCCTGCACACCAAGCTGTACCAGGTGCGAGCTCCATCTCCCTCTGCCACACTGACCTTGATCACCTGGCCAGGGAGGTTTGCCTTCGAACGTTAACCTTTCTGTTGAGTCCTGCACATCGAGGCCGTCTTCAGGGTCAGAAATGTGAGGGACAAGCTTCATAAAGCTGTCTTTCTCGGGGTACTTTTCAGAGCATAACTTGAAAAGGCTCCAGCGTTGACCGTTAGGGCTGCGATGTGTGCTGCTTTGTAGTGGATGTTTCTTATCCATGAGAAGGCTGTCCACTTTTAGGTCAATACCTGGGTAAAATGTCCAGGTGTATCTCATGAGGGTGCAGGACAACATAATTATTTTTCCATGTGGACATGAACCATACTATAAAGTATGGTTCTGACAGTGACATGTGGTCTTCGTTCTGTTAACTTGGGAACAGTCTTGGGTGTTATAATGAGCAAGTGCGCTTTTATTATTGGGAAACAGATTACCAGAAATAACAAGACAAAGCGGGAAGGCCAGGAGAGCAGTGCCGGGGACCAGGGACTCATTGGTGCATTTGGACATGCTTCATGTTGCCTCTGGGTCTTTGAGGGCAGCCAGCTGACTGACCATGACCATGTGTCCCTGCAGGAGGTGGAGATTGCCAGTGTGGATGCATTCCAGGGGCGTGAGAAGGACTTCATCATCCTTTCCTGTGTGCGAGCCAACGAGCACCAAGGCATCGGGTTTTTAAATGACCCCAGGCGGCTTAACGTGGCCCTGACCCGAGCAAGGTACAGTGGTTGAATCCTGTCTGGGCTTGTAGGTGGCACTTGCCACCTTCCTGTCTCAGGATCCTTCAGAGGGACTTTTCCTCAGGGTCTGACTTTGGGAGGCTTCTCACTTCCTGGTCCTCTTGTTAACAGTCCTCGCACCCCAGCCACACCTCAGGCTGGCAGTACAGGGCCTGGGATGGGGCCTTTGCCAGTTCCTGAGGTCCAGAGGCTACAGCAACAACTTAGAAAGCAGGGCTCACCGCAAGTACTTTGCTTGTGTGTCCTGGTGGTTTTCTGTGGTCGCAGTCTCATGGACAATGTCCGTTCTGGCCCTTCTGACGTGAGATTCAAACCCAGTGCCTGGCGTGTGTCCCTGTCGAGTTGTTGAACTATGAGTCTAACGTTTTGGCCCTGACTCCTTTTTGGTTCTGGGATGTAACTGCTCTGAAATAGTGGTAACAGCAGAAGAGACTTGGAGAACAAAGTGGCTCCCATGCTGCCTCTGTGCCAGCCAAGGTCAGGCTCATGTTCCCACATCAATTCTTTCCCCACCCAGGACACTTGGTTTTCATGGTTGCCCCCTTTCTGTTGTACACTATTGTTAGGTGGCCAGCATGGGGACGCGCTGGGTGAAGGTAAGCGTCCACAGAAGCTAGGCCCAGGCTCAGGCATCAAGTTACATGCCTAGTCAGGATCCCTGAGGCATCTCAGGAGGCCGACTTGAGGCTACAACAAGGAAACTAGTCTCTGAACTAATCTGCCATCTGGGGTTTTTGTCATCTGAGCCCCTAGAAATCCACTTCCAGATAAACTGAGTGCAGTGTTAACAGCTTGTAGGCTGGGCTCCAGTGCCAGTCATCATGGGCAGGCCAGGCATCTAGGCAGGGTGGCCCCCAGTGACTTTGGACTCAGGTTTTGAATTTGTTTGGCCTCAGACTGTTGTATGTGGTGTTTGTTTGCTATGAGGCCATAAGCACCATGTTCTTTGCGCCCACACCTTGCAGATATGGAGTCATCATTGTGGGCAACCCTAAGGCACTGTCCAAGCAGCCCCTGTGGAACCACCTGCTGAATTACTACAAGGAGCAGAAGGTGCTGGTGGAGGGGCCTCTGAATAACCTGCGAGAGAGCCTCATGCAGTTCAGCAAGCCCCGGAAGCTGGTCAACACCATCAACCCTGTGAGCTGTGGCCGATAGTCAGGAGGGATGGGACCCCTTTTCCTCCAAGCCCCCATTTTGGCACCTAGCAGTGGGCGATGGCTGGTGTAGCCTGTGGAAAGCGTGTGCATGTCAGTGTGTGAAGAGGAGCAGTGCATGCTGGCTCCCCACACCAGTGTCCTGAGGTTTATACGGGCTGTGAAGTCCTGGGGGTTTCTAAGAGTAAGACAAAGGCAGTTAGGAAACCTTGTGAACCCAGGGTGCCTTGGGGGATGAGGGGTACAGGGCTGCTTGAACAGAAGCCAGAGATGGAATGTGAAGCATCAAAGGCTGTGTTATTGAAAGAGGAGTGGGATTTCTCACCTACCCAAACCCTCTGCAGGGAGCCCGCTTCATGACCACAGCCATGTATGATGCCCGGGAGGCCATCATCCCAGGATCGGTCTATGATCGGAGCAGCCAGGGTAAGTCCTCTCTGGGGGGGCCTGGGCCAGCACTGAGGATGTTGACCCTTCCCACGCCTGCGCTGCATCTGTCCACAGAAACCTTCCTGACAACGAGTTCCTTCTCAGCTTCCCTCTCTGAGATCAAAGTGTTGGTCTTTGGCAGTTTCTAAAAAGAAGATATTTTTAAATAACACAGTTCTGCCAGGTTGCCCCCATGCCCCCCCCCCTCGCCCTGTGCTCCCCTTTTCAATGGGAACTCGTACATGCAGTTCCTCCAAGTGGCCTGCAACCTCATTTCAGGTTTTGTCTCTTTCATGAAGTCCCCTCTTGCTCTGTCAGAGCTCTGAGTTGGGAGCATGTTCTCGTCTCCTAGTGGAGTCTCTATGTCCAAAGGCTGAGTCTGACCCCTGCTGGCTGGAACACCTCTCTCCCTGCCTGAGCCAGTGTAAACGGTTCTCTCATCCCCCAGGTTCTTGCCTGCTGGGACCCTTCCCCACCCCAATCAACACAGAGGACGACACAGTGCCCTGCCACTCACTTCAGTGCCACCTGCCCACGTTTTTTACTGTGGGCTTTGTTCCCTCCTGTGCTCAGTATTCATCCTGAGGGCAGGTGTACCCCAGCTCCTCTTACGTGTTCTTGGCAGCCCCCTTTCTCTGACCCTGTATTTGCCTGGCCTCTGGGTTCAGATTGGGTATCGTGTTATCTAACAACAACAATCCTCTCATCACCACGTCCAGCAAGTTGCTGTGTAGCTGAGGGTGTCCAAGGTGCTTCTTCCCTCAGTCCCCAGGGGCTGACCCAGAAGACCATGTTTTCAAGTCCATGGGGGCCTTTGTTTGGTCTGTGGAGCTTAAGCATTCTCTTGCTTTTTAGTGTGTGTGGTATGAACATACGTTTTGGCACAGAAAGGACCACTTTTATTTGAAATATTGAGTGGTAGTTCTCAGTTTGTCAGGTCCCTATAGTTGTGTCAGAATCCCCTACAGAAAAAGGTGGTTTCCCAGGCACCACTCCCAGCAGGTTGAGAAGGGGATTGATGGTAAGAATCTGCAGCAAGGCAGTTCTTGCCATGGGGACACCCTAAAAATTGCAGGCAGAGCAGTGACAGGATGGGATAGGCATCCCACTGCAGGCAGAGTAGCTGACTGGAAGTAGGCAGCAGACTCACCTGTATACAGTGGAGAACTTGCCATTCACCCTGTCTTACAGGTCGGCCCTCGAACATGTACTTCCAGACCCATGACCAGCTCGGTATGATCAGTGCTGGCCCCAGCCATGTGGCCGCCATGAACATTCCCATCCCCTTCAACCTGGTCATGCCACCCATGCCACCACCGGGGTATTTTGGACAGGCTAATGGGCCGGCTGCAGGTGAGCGAGCACCAGACCTCGGAGCAGAATCACTTGTCATCTAGGCTTAGACCTCCTTTAAGGGATCCTGCCGCTGTATTTCAGGCCGAGGCACCCCGAAAGGCAAGACGGGCCGTGGTGGACGCCAGAAGAACCGCTTTGGCCTTCCTGGGCCCAGCCAGACGAACCTGCCCAGCAGCCAGGCCAGCCAGGATGTGGCATCACAGCCCTTCTCTCAGGGGGCCCTGACACAGGGCTACATCTCCATGAGCCAACCCTCCCAGATGAGCCAGCCTGGTCTCTCCCAGCCCGAGTTGTCCCAGGTGAGCTGGCTACACAGAACTTGAAATGTACATCCACTTGCAGAGAAGTTAGACCAACCCAGGGTGCCCCCCCTCCCACACACACACACACACAGACACCCCTTGACACACTCCCCAAAGGACTCAGGAGGATGGCCTGCATGGCTGCCCTCAGCAATGGTGCTGTGGGTTTAGAACATTGTCCGTGACGCTGCCCCTTCAAACAGTCCTATGTCACCCGCCTCAGTGGTGAGGTAGCCAGAGTGGGTCTCCTGCTGCTCAGGTTCAGGACTGCTTTTTCAGACTCTTCTCTAGGCTGGCGAGGCGCTGAACACACAGCAGATTCTCAGAGTTGCAAGGACATGTGCCAGTTCTCTGGCTGCTCATCTCCCCACTGTGTCTTTCAGGACAGTTACCTTGGTGATGAATTTAAGTCCCAGATTGATGTGGCGCTATCACAAGATTCTACGTACCAGGGAGAGCGGGCGTACCAGCATGGTGGAGTGACGGGACTGTCTCAGTACTAGAAGGCAAGCCAACTCCGGAGGAGGGCTTCACCGGGACCTGGACTTGTCAGAAAACTCGGGAAATGTGGGAGTCTCAAGTCCAGGAGGGGCCAACTCATCATTGTGACCTGTCACTTCAGGTCCCTGCACCTCTCCCTGTGTTATGTCCTCTCCTGCGAGTCCTAGAACTCCTGAGAAAGGCCGATGTGGAGGCCCATAGCCCCCTGGGCAGGCAGGGAGGTGGACACATCCTTTTCCCTGACTGGCAGCTTGTGAGGGTGATGGGTCCTGGCACTAGGTGCATAGGGAACTTCTGCAGAAGGTGCCCGTGAGTCATGCCTTGCGGTTCCCGTCTGTCGATGTGCCAAGGAAAGCTGTGTGCTGGTACTGCTGGAAGAAGGGGTGCCACTGTTATAGCACAGGCTGTAGCCTTAGCATTTGACTGCCTTCTGTCTCTGGTTGGAAAGTCAGTGGTCTAAGGGCTGTCCAGCACGTGAGGTCCCATTCTACAGGTGAGAACGTAGGTGCTAAGTGGAAGTAGGGAGAAAGCAGCTTGCCTTGCAGGCAGGGCTGGGCTCCTACTTTCTCTGATAGCTGTGCCCTCTCCCGCCCTCTCTACAGGTGGCAGCGGAAGAGCTAAGCTTTGTGGCTTAGTCCATCAGCATCTTATTCTGGGTAATAAAAAATAAAAATAAATGGATACCTGTTTTCCACTGCTAAAACTGAAGCACCACTGAGCAACAGGAGAGGGAGAGCAGCCCGAGATAGTGAGCGCCCACTGCTGGCACCGCGGCGAGGAGACAGAGGGAGAGCGGAGGTGGGGCCGGCCAGCCCGAGAGCCCTGCAGCCAGCTCGCCAAGGAGGCCCAGCTCGCCGCGTCTACACCTGGGTCTGCGACCAGGAGGAGGGAGGAAGACCCTCATCTCAGAGTAGCCCTTTCCTCTGTTCTTTCTTTCTTTTTCTCTTTTATTGAAAGGGGACTACGTTTTATCAGGAACAACTCACATTTCTGTGCTGAACAGGCTCCTTGCAGCCATGCCCAGAGAGCCCCGCTGAGGCGCGTGTTCTGTCCACACTGAGACCTTGCAGTCACGCTGCCTGTGTTCTAAGAGGGTTTTCATTTAAAGAAAATGTGGTGTTTGGGCTTTTCTGTTTGTTTCTTAAAGATTCTTTCAAAGGAGTACTGAAAAATACTTTCCTGAGTTTGTCTCTCAAATCTTAGTGGTGGACCTGGGAGATGCAAGAAGCTTCCAGAAACGAAGTTTAAACGAGACACACAACGAGGTTAGGATGAACACCTGTGACGCGATCATGGAGAGGAAGATGTTTGTTTTCAGCTTAGTTTCCAGCAGCTTCTCCCTGTGCGTCAGGGCAGTGAGAGAATATCACCTGGGCCCACGGGCTCCGCTGGACTCCGAGAAGCAAAGCACTTCTCACATGCAGTGGACTCAGTCCCCTGAAGGGCCCAGCAAAACTAGCCATGAGGCTGGAGGGTGGGGAGGTGGTCGTTCCTCAGCCAGCGGCTGCTTCCCCAGGGAGGCGCCCACGGTCCCTGTGGCCATCAGACAAGCCGAGAGCCTTGCCCCCCCCCTCTTTCTCTCCATCCCACTCCCAAATTTTGAGCCCTTCTACCTGTGAGCATAGCTTCAATGAGTTGGGGTGGTTTTCATTTTATTTGGGAAAAGGAGTTTCAGAAATAAGTTGGTTCTGTGCTGAAGGTGCTTGGGGGAGTGGATCACTTCAGCTGTACAGAAGCATCCACCTGGATCTGCATTGGGAAGTTCTTGTGGTTGTGAAAGGTCCCCTGTGGGGGCAGGTGTTTGTCACCGTGGTGACCACCAAGTTGAGGACTGTTTCCTGCCTACCCAGGTCCTAGTGACCGTGACCCCAGCATCTCTTCCCCGTGCGTCTGACACTGGCCCTTAACCCAAAACCTCCAGATGCCATCTGGTACACGGAGAGACAGGGACACACAGGCACCTTTCTTCTGGCAAGGCCTCTTAGCCCGTTGCTGTAGGGCTTTTGGTGAGCCACCTAGAGGCATTGCGCTTGGATAGGCTTCTGCTGTGACCCTGTGTGCCCCCCCCCACCCCCCCACTGCCCTGTTCCTTTTTGGAGTGCTCTACCTCGCTCTGTGCTGTTGGCTTTTATTCACCTTCTAGCAGCAATTACTCTGAGTTTTCCAAATCAAGGAGCATCTGTACCAAGGCAATGTCACTTCTGATTTTTGGTCAATTTGTTTTAAGCTCTTTTGTCACCAATAAAATGTTAAAAACAACTCTTGCATGTGTCACAGAGCTGGATAAGATACAGGGGGTGGGAGAGCACTTAGGTCTGGGGTCCTGCAGTCTGAAGGGCAAAGCTAAGAAGGGCTGAGTCAGCAGACTGGAAAGTGTGTGTGGGGGTGGGGGGTGGCGACTCCCGGGGTCCCCTTACATGTAGAGCCGCCTGTATACAGCCTTCTAAGGGCCGGTGGCTCCAGACCGCCCTCCCCCCACCAACCTGATGGATGTGTCAGGACTCCCCCAGCCCCAGGTGACAAGACCCAAAGACAGCAGCTCAAACCACCCAGTGTTTATTGTGTCCCCGCTCCTGCACGTCTGTCAGCGGCAGCCGCACTCGTCCACCACCATGTCCTCGTAGTGCCGCAGGACCACGTTGTCACTGTTGTCGAAGAAGAGCACGGAGATGGGTGACAGGCGCGCGGGAACACAGCAGGGCAGGCCGGCAGGACCGGGGGCTGCCGAGTGCATGAGCGCGCGCAGCACGGCGTGGTTGAGCGCGGGCGGCCCCCCGGGCCCGGGCAGCGTGGCGGGCAGCGAGCACTGGCCCTGGCAGTAGTTGGCCAGGAAACCGCGCGGCGCAATGACCCAGCGATGCCAGCCCACCTCGCGGAAGCTGACGTAGAGCCGCCGGGCGCGACAGGAGCCCCCGTGGCCACCACCCACCGAGGGCTCGGCCTCGCGCCGCGGCCGGGCGAAGGGGTGGCACAGGCGCGGGTCAAGGGTCACCAACAACAGTGAGGCCTCAGCCAAGCGCCCGCAGGTGCCCGTGTGCCGGGGGCGCAGCGCCAGCGCCAGGCGGAGGCTGCGTGGTACTGAGGCGTTGTGGGCCCAGGTGGCGCCCAGCAGCTCAGCGCGCACCGGCGTCCCCAGGGAGACCACTGCCTGGCGGAGCAGCACCGGGCCTGCGCCCACCTCCTCGGCTGCCTGCGCCACGCTCAGCTCCCAGCCGCCTGCTGTCTCCGCCGCAGCCGCTTCCTCCGCTGCGAAGCGCAGCTCCAGACGGGCTCGGCTCGGGAGCTCCGCGGGGTCCACAGCCGACAGGTCGAAGATGAGGGTCCATTTGGGACACTGCCCTGCCGCCGAGGGCTCCGTGGTCCGGGCGCGTGCGCCTAGGGAGGCCGGGAGAGGGCTCAGCTCTCGTCGTGTCACCGTCTACGCGCGAGTGGTCTCGGTTGGGAGCTTGGGGGTAAGGTTAGTGCCTGAGGCCGAGGGCGCACCATCTGTTACTTGGCGTCAAATGGTGTGAAGGGGGGGGCGGGGGAGAGATGGAGTGTGGGCGGGGCATCGCTTGCAAGGAAGAAACCTGCCCGAGGCTGGGTGGCCTGCCCGTCGGGAACACAGGCAGGGGGCAGCGATGAGCAAACGCCTGGGTAAGCGATGCTGGGGCGGGGTGTCATCGGCAGGAAGGCTTCAAATGCTGTGAAGCAGCGGGAGTGAGGGTGAGTGGGGGCAGGGCTCCAGCTGCAAGCAAAGGCCTTGCCGGGTGCAAGGCAGCCTGGCCTTGTGGCCACTCACCCGGGTCCCCGCAGGTGTCCACGGGAGAAGGGATGGAGTACAGGGACTCAGGTTGCTCGTGGGCTGGACTGGGTGGGTGGAGACCCTCGAAGTCACTGGAAGCTCGTGGGGGGGCTGGGGTGCCCAGGGAGGTATCGGCCTCCCAGACCCACCCCCGGAGAGCAGGCACCACTCACCGCGGTCCGGGATGTGGCGCACGATGTTTCCGGCGACCCCCAGCTCCTCCACGTGACA